TGTGCTCTTCCGATCTCCCCAAAACCCCAAAACCCCAAAACCCCATAGAACTAAAAATTGTTATAAGTTGTAATATCAGAAAATTAAATTAGTAAAATACTACTGATAATTTAAAACATCTTCTTAATGATTAATACTCTTTCTATTTATATTATCAGGAATTTTTATATTCAAGATGCCAGATTTAGAGCCTTAAAAAGTACAATAAGTAGAACAAGTATAAGTAAAAATCCAACCCCCATTAGCATTAGAGTCTATATCATAAACTTTTATTCCTCTTTGTTAATAAGTCTGTAGTCTATTTCTAAATTAGTGCCATTTTGTGTGTTAATTGGTGCGAGATTTATTGAAACATACTGTGTATCATCAAGCACGAACATGACATATCCATTCTCACTCTGCACACAGTGCTTAATCTACATACAGTTTGCTGGATCAACAAGACCGAGATCTATAATTGAATTTGAGAAAGTTGAGTAGTAATAAATTCCAATTAGAGCATTCTGGATATTCTAAAACTTCAACTCAAAGACATTTGATGTTTGATTCTAGCTGCGGAAGTTATAAGAACAGACTATCCCATTTTCAGGTGATATTTCAAGATGCTTCCAAAATCCATCATCCGATACTACGACATCCTGAGCCTGGATATTCACTTAGGTTATTAATTCTCTTTGATATTTAGGTTATTCGTTCTCTATTTGCGTTGAGCCACATTTCTCGAAGTCTGTCTTGCAGATTTCATATTTCTAACTCTTAGATTATGTACTATTATATTTTAACATATAAAGATTATATAGCTTACTAGATACCAGAACATATAAGAGTGTTATCAAGCTAAGATGTGCATCCCTTACTTTATTCGTCTAAAGGATCACAGCAATAAGTAGAAACTGAGTTAAAGCAAAATTTAAGGTTATTGTTCAAGCAAGTCACACAATCATAAGGAAGTGACTACTATACCAGCTATTTCGATAAGCTTTAAGAACCTAATTCTTTAATTAATATTCTAATGCTCTTAGACTGTTTAAATTTCAAGTCTTTAGTAATGACTTACTCAGATTTGGAGTATTTTTTTTATCAGTAGTATTTGGGATATCTCCAGTTGTATCAGTTGTAAGTTATATTAATGGACCTGATGATTTCTAAGACATTGCTGTAAACTATACTGTATGCATGCTACTGCCTATTATATTTTTGTACTTAGAATAATGGTACACTTTAGCAATGAAAAAGATATAAGCACTGATAACTTAATTAGGTGAGAATAATTCATTTTTATTATAATAGAAATATGTGTATTTTAATGCTATTTTATTTGCTTTTAATGAGGATATCAATCATTCCGTTCGGG